GCGCTTGCTTGCTTCTCTCTGACCTTGACCCCTGGCTCCCCTTGGCCTTCCGTAAGCTCAAGACAGGTCACTGGGAACGAGATGTCAAGAGACTGGGCTTCCTTAAAGGAAGGTTCTCAGGGATGAACACAGCTGAAGCGACTGGGAAAGGTCCCATCCTGCACGTTCGATTTGCTTACAAATGAATGGTAACGGGAACGTGAACTTGATTCCCCGAGATGCATATCAAACAACATCGGCCAATTAAAGCTAGAAAACAATCCTAAATGACACTGCCGAACATACATTCTAAGGATCTTGATTATATCAAACATTTGGCATTTTGAAGAAAAATCAACCTGTGTGTGTGTGCGCGCGCGCGCGCGCGTGCTGGGGATTGAGTCCAACGTCTTCACATTGACCTTCATCCCCAGCCTCTTAATTTCTTCTTTTCATTTTGAAATGGGGTCTCCCTCAACTGCCCAGTCTGCACTCAAACTTGCCATCCCCTTGCCTCAGCCTCTCACCATGCTGGAACTTCAGACCTGCACCACCGCACCCAGCGTAAAGGCATTAAATTCTCCATGAAGCGTTTTTTTAAATCTTTGGCAACACATATTCTACAAGTTTAAAAATTCTGTTGCTTTCCTAATTTCATTTGCTCTTTGAAACAACCACTAGAATTAGGTAGAACAGGTATTACGACAGACAGCGCTGGAGTTCAGGGAACTTGGCTTGATGAAGTCTTTCTTAACAGGGTCACGTTTCTACTTCAATTCCCTGCCCCGAAGAACAAGCTAAGTCGTCCTTAATATGCGATTTATATTTACATTCTGGCAACAACCAAAAAAGTTTCTGAGGTGTGCCCCCGCAAGAGCTGTCTATGCAATGGGAACTTTAAAATGGAAATGAATTTGGTAGGTGAGGGGGGAGGGAGGGTATACTATCAAAGACAGACTTATAGTCAAAGAAAACTTGACTCTGAACTTTCAGTTCTAGGCAAAAATAAAGAAACAAGACGATTTACAGAAATGTCAAAAGCTGGGCATGGTGGCACATGCCTATAATCCCAGCACGCAGGAGGCTGAGGCAGGAAGATCGCCTCAAGTTCCAGGCCAGCGAGTTCCAGGCCAGCCTGGAGACTCTATCTCAACAACAAACCAAGCCTGCCACAGGCAAAAAGTACTCTCAGGGAAGAACCAGCACTAACTAGTTAAGTTTCAATTAAAGCAGTAAAATCTAAGAACACGATAAAGAAAATCCAGTCAGGTTTTAAAGATCCTTCTTATTTTTAATAAGGTTCCCTATCAAGAGGAACAAGAAAGAAGCATATAACAAAGAGCATTTTAAAGAAAAGAACAGAAATCAAAAAGGCAAAATATCCTAATAATGAAAAATTGTAGGACCTAGCATCACCCCTCAACCAGACAGCTATGATCTATTTTTAATCCCTGTAATCACCCAAAACACAATGAACAGCACGTGAAACTGTGAAGCCTTCAAGACACGTGGCTCGCACAAACTCAAGCAAACCAAAGTTCCACCGTACCAAACAGATAAACTGACGGATTTAATATTTTAAAGGGCTGGGTACTACACGCCTTAGAACCAGACTCCCCGATAGGTCATGTAACATATGATACTACTTTTGTAAATCATTTAAATTTTGCTTTTTTAGAGCATTGTACAAAGCCAAGCACATCTACTCAAGGTGCTCTCACAGTTCCATTTACTTCAGATTCTCCAGCATAAAATCTCTGTTACAGACTGGGGCGTAGAGGAGCCTACAGTTGGAAGACTTCATGTGACACTTAAAAGACTGACTCCCCCCCCAAAAAAAACCACATTGACAAAATGGTCCTGAAAAAATATGTACCCTTGACAATTTAATTAAGAGAACACATCAATTTGATATAGTGTAAACGTTGTAAGTAGAACATCGTGAATAACATGAAGAATACAAAAGACAACACCCAATGTGTTACTTTAGGTCTATGGCAGATGTCTGTCCATAACCCTGACAGGCTGTACACTCCACGTACTGTCTTTTGAAAAAGAAACCAAAATGATCTTGATGCGGTCGCACAGAACTATAACACCAGGTGAGGTGGCTGAGGCAGGAGGATCAAAAGTTTGAGGCCATACGGTAGGGTATGTGTTCCAAAAATCTATGCTGGAGAAAGCAAGCAAACAGTGTGTGGAATTAATTTCCTGTTTAGAGATATTGGGAGAGAGGTGTCTAGAGCTCATCAGTAACAGTGTCCAGCTAGCAGACAGGTGTAGGATGCTGTATGATTCCTTTATATTAAAATATGAAGTGTGAGGCCAGAGCAGGCCATTGGCTACAGACTGCATTTCCCTTGTTCAGTGCATTTTCCTTCTTTTCACCACTGAATCTTAATACTGGAGGATCTCAGAAGCTACTGAGGCTTTGCTGAGAACCATGAGACTGTCGCAAATGAAAGCAACTCAAGAACAGAATTGGGACTTGAAAACAGGGCTGAGGTAGTGTCTCATTGGCAGTGGAACTCAAAGGAAAAGCACAGGAAGCGGTTTGGACGCACTTTTCTTGCTGCACACCTGGGTGATCTTCACGGGCCTGCGGGTACCAGGATAAGGCAGAACTGGCACCATCTACTCTTCTGAAGTGCTTTAATTTAGTTACTGGATCAGTGAAAAAGATTAATAGAACAAGCTATGTCTGACAATATCTTAAAAAAAAAAGTTTGAGGCCAGCCCCAGGGAACTTAGTAAGACCTTGTCTCAAAAATAAAAAATACAAAGGACCAGAGATGTAGCTCAGTGTTAGAATATCCCTGGGTTCAGTCTCCACTACTGCAAAAAGAAAGGAAAAAGGATACTGAGGAGGGAGAGGGAGAGAGAGATGGAGGGAGGGAGGGAGGGAGGGAGAGGGAGAGAGAGGGAGAGGAGGAGGAAGAAGTGGTGGAGAGAAGGGGGAGGGCAAGGAAACTAAAAGGAAAGAAAAGGAAGTTTTCTGCTGTGAACTTTCCTCCACCGTATTTGGTCGAAAGAATTAAAGGTGGAGGGCTGAGGTTCTTAGAAACCATCTAGACAGGCAGCCTTCCAGAAACAAAACAGTCAATTAATTCCAGAGCCAAAATGAGACCCAATAAATTCTAATTCACACCATGCAACCAACACTAGAAAGCACCGGCAAGAATTTAATCTAAAAGCTTTGGGGAGCCAAGGATTTGCACCCATGACATAGAAAAAGATCTCTCATGTCCCTGCTGTCTTCGGCTCTGGGTGCACACGGCATTTTTCAAGCTGTGTGACAGTGAGCCACTTACTGCCCAAACCGGGGCTGACCCTGAAGACCACAAACTCCAGGGCCAGGACCTGGGTCAGGCAAGGCTTCCGAAAGGCTAAGCAGGAGCAGTACAGGGGAGGGCAACACAGCAAAGACCGCGTAGGGCCGTGCCCTGTGTGTGCCTTGTCACTGCCACAGCTGCGGCTCTCAGCAGCTTCGTCTGTGTCCCTGATAGACACCGCCTCTTACTTAGAAAAACTTCAGGTTAGATATTAGAGCTCCTCCCGCCTAAGGCTGGTGCGTTTTTACCCCAACCACAGGCTCTTAAAGGGAAAGGCTGTCCTGTCTGATTCTGGCTTCAACACAATAGGTGTATTTAAGACTTCTGAGTGTTCTCTGGGGCTGCTTAGAGAGGGCAGCTCCCCCCGGGGCTTGGTTGGAGTCCCCCCACAGGACTTCACCCCAGCACTGCCTTCAAAGGTCTGACCTCCAAAGGGAGCTGCTTTGGCCTCCTTCCCTGGGTGTGGACTCGGCTTCAAACACATTTTCCAGCCCGCCAAATTCTTGGGAGAGTTTCCTGAACTCTCCAGGCCCTGAGAGCTAAAGCTGATCTGGCTTTCCAGATTTTTTTTCTTGCCAATCCTAACGGAAGAAATCCAGAAGCTTTGAGGCAAAGGAGCCTCGCTGCTTCCAATCACAGCGGCTCCCGGCGGCCCAGGCCCGGGTGGAGCAGGACGCTGCGGTCCCCAGCCCAGCGACAGAGGAAGGCTAGCCGCTCCTGGCTTCTGCCACTTGGCACAGTGGACAATCAATCAAGGAGCCGGTGACAGTTCTGCCGGCCAGCTGCGTCCCGCGCACCTGGGTGCACCGCGACTACCCTAACCCAGACAGCCCGCGGCAGTGGCATCCTGACGGTCGGGGCGGGGAGGCTGCTCATTTGCGGGGTGGCAAGGACCCCACGGGTGCAGATCCACGCTGTCATCCGCAACGACACCCGGGGAGCCGGTGAAACCATGAGGGGTGCAGAGAGCGCACCCACTCTCCGCGTGACGGGGACCCCACGCGCGTGTCCACGCGGTTCCCTTCAGCGACACACACACACACACACACACGGAACACGGTGACAAGGAAGGATCCAGGCGCGCGGGTCCAAGCAGTCACCCTCGACGACAAGCCGTGGGCATCGCGCACTGGGGGAGGGGAGCGTGACCTCTCCGCGATTCGAGGTGGGCGCGGGTCCCCGAGTGCGGCCGGGGAGACAACGCGGGGCGCACAGGTCAGACCCGGCCAGGCTTCCGTGCCCAGGGCGACGGCACCGCCGGGCAGAGACCCCGGACGATTCGGCCCGGCGGCGGCCCCCAGGCCCGGGGACCCCGATCGCCCCTGAACCCCGCACGGCCCAGGACCCCAGTGCAGCTCTCGGACCCCGACCGCCCAGGACCCGACCCGACCCGGACCTCGCCGGACCCCGGATCCCCGCCCCATCCTCACCTCCGGCCACAGGCGCCGTCGATTACAGCCTCCCTCACCGCACCGCACAGCACCGCAAAGCACCGCACACTACACGCGCAGCCGCCTCAACAATGGAGCCCGGGGCGGGGCCGGCGCCGCCTCTGCGAGTCCCAGCTCTGCCCGGCTCCTCGCCGACCGACGCCCGGCAAGGGGGCTGCGGTAGGAGGACACTGCGCAAGCGCGCGCGATGCCCCGCCCACCGCACATGCCCCGCCCCCGAACCCGCTCCCTGCCTATGAGGAGGGGACAGTGCGGAGGGGGCGGGGCCGGGAGGAACAAAGGGAGGCTGGGCGGGGCCGCGCGGGAGGAGGAGGGGATCCAGCGCGACGCCTTGCGGCTGCAGCCTGCCTCGCGGCTGCTGAAGACTGTCTGAAAGCCCACGGGGCTCGTCCCAAACACCGAGCTCGGGTCTATAGGGCTGAGAGCGAGGCAGGTCTGTTTTACACACAGGGGAGCTGAGGCCTAAAGAGCACGATCACATGCCGCCGGAAGTCACTTAATCGCAATCCCTCGTTCATTTTGCAGTCATTCTGCAAACATTTTGAAGCATGTAAGTGTTCATTAGAAGTGAACGGAAGCAAACCTTTGGGGCTCCGCCAGGCTGGACCGTTTCCGTGTCTCACTTTCAGGTCTGATAAAGGCGCTTCAGGGCTCTGGTTCGCGCAGTTCCCCACCTGCCAGCCCCACCTGACAACCTGCCTTAAAACCTCCGCCCTCATCTCATTCAAGCTTTGCGGAAGGTGACCCCACGCTCTGGGATCCCTTCTCCCCGGCTTGCTGCACCTCCTCTGCCTCTGGGGTGTCCCCTTGCCCACCTGCACGTAGCGGGAGGTGTGCTGAGCCAAGGGCCTTCTCTGTGGAAGACACCCCCCAAAACCTCAGCCTCTCCCAGCTTTAAGCCGCTACCCATCCGTCGTGCCGGGTCCCAGTCTCCAGCCCTGACCTCCCCAGGCCTGAAGAGGCCTCACCAGCTTGTCATGGCCAAAACAAAGTGCTTCCTTCAAGGCCCCCAGCGCGCTCCTCCACGTTCTTCCCCCGGGTCGACAGCCCCTCTGCCCGCTGCTGCTCAGGGGAAGCGCTGCGATCCCGAGTCCTCCTCGCTCCGCTGCTCCAGCGCTCAGGCTGGCTCCTTGCAGCCCTGGCCCTGCGGGAAGTTCCTGTCCTAGTAGCCGACGCCCAGGGAGGTGAGACCCTGTGGGACCCCAGAGCGCCGACTCTGGCCAGATTCTGTGCCTAGCGCTGGGCCTGGCACCCTCAAATGATGCCCTGCACACACCTGTGCACACTCGTGTGCACACACATGCGCACTGAGGACAGGCTGGGCTCTAACCCCACTTGCCAAGTGAGGGCCTCCGTGTCCACAGGCAGCACCCACCCCTTCCGCTCTGTGGTGAGGGACGTCCTCGGGATCAGGACCACAGAGTGACCCTGTAACTGTAAAACGTGTCACCCCAGGCCACAGGCCTCTGCACTGCTGTGTCATCTGCCACACTCTCCACTGTGAGCCTGGCCAGGTCTCACCCTATGTGTCACTGTCCCTGGAAAGGCGTCAGGCCACCCCCTCACCATGTACAGCTATGGCAGTCACACCCTAAGGTGACCCCGGACATCGAGTGCAGGCAGAACCTGTGCCTGGATTCTAAGCGATAGTTGGTGGTAAAGGTGACGGGGTGTGAACCCCATGCAGGACTCCGCCTGCGTGCACAAGAGAGGCTGCACCTGCTGAGCGGGCCTTTGGAGAGGACCCTGGTCAAAAAGGGACACCAGGAACTGAGGACTGCCTGCAGCCACAGCCAGACCAAAGTGGGACCCTTGGTCACGCAGGCCAGGGAAAAAATTCTACCAAGAACCTGAATGAGCTGGGATGCCACGGATGCAGCCAGCATACTGGGTGCCGCTGCAGGGACTGGACCAGCTGGTACCACTGAAGCCCTAAGCTAAGGAAGGTGAGTACTGTTTCCAGCTTCTGCGTTTGTGGTGATTTGTTATAAAACAATAAAAAATGAGTGTGACGCCCTGAGCCCTCTCTCTGTTGCACTCAGTCAGGGCATCCCGTGCCCCTGCTCTCCGGCCCAGCCACAGTTATGCTCACTTTTTTCAGAGCTCGCTCTTGCCCCCATGAGAGCAGACATGGAAAGGGCCAGCTCCTGCCTGCGCTCCAGATGCCTCAAGTGGCAGTGCCTCAGGGGCAGTTTCGTTCCAGGGCAATCACTGGATGGGACATGCTGCGGTTGGCTGGCGCAGCCAACCCGGCCCCCTTCCCCCAGGCCAAGCTCTGCTGCAGGGGTCGTTTCCTGCCATCCCAGTCTTCCATGTAGCTGGGTGGCCATGTGACTTTGGTCAGGGAGGTAACTGTGGAAGCGATATAGGAGGAATAGAATAACTCACAACCTGCTAGATATCAGAACGAAAGAATGAATTCTAAGACGAACGACGGAGGTTAATAGTAGGAAACTTTATTGAGAGAAAGGAGGAGAGCTGAGAATGAGTTCCCATGGACCCCACTTCACAGAGGAAGTGTTATAGAGCAAAATCCCAAGGTGGGAACAAAATCCCAAAGTGGGTACAACGTGGGACAAACTGTGACCAACCAATAAGATTACAAGCATAGCCGCTTAGGTAACGGTGATCCAATAGGAGGGTGGGTCATGTAGCAAAGGTGCAGGAAAAAAATCAAAGATCTTTTTAGGAAGGGATGGACCAGGAGGTCCTTGTCACCCACTTGGGTGACTGATATTTATCTAGACTTTACTGGACCAGGTGATACTAATTATAGTCTATTGCTTGTCCCTTTAGGAGCCTGCAGGCCTGGTTGTTCTGTCTTTATCTCGAGGCCTGGCCTTGGACAGATGGGCCTCCAGCCACAGCTGTGATGTGTTCTCAAACTCTGCGCTGACTCCCTAGAGGGCCCTGCCCCGCCTGATGGCCTGGACTATTTCTACCTCACTTAGCTGTCTGTGATAGGAGGAGGCTGAAAGGGATCTCGCAGCCAGGCCAGGGACAGTTTGGAGCAAACTCTGAGGCCCAGTGGGGCCGGCCGGCGTTCTGGAATTCGTGATTCTGTGATTGAGTACATTCATTGCTGAAAGATTAATTTATATAAACTGGCAATTGAAAAAAATATATTTAAACAAAGATAATAATCAGTCAAACTCTATCATTCCCTAAGTATTTTGCTATAGTTTACTATTCTCTATGCCCTGGAGGATTTTGTATACCCTACGTCTGTATGGTGGGAACTTTATCTAACTGTGTGCTGCTAGTGTCTCTTCCTGACTCGGCAGTCAGCGATTTGCCTTGGTCATTTGAAATCAGGCCTATAGGAAAATGTATGCAACAAAAATCAATGCTTAAACTGGATGTGGTGACACATGTCTGTAATCCCAGCATTTGGGAGGCTGAGGCAGGAGGCTTATTTTGAGTTTGAGGCAGCCTGGGCTACAAAGTGAGCTCAAGGCCAGCCTGAACTGCATAGCAAGACCCTGTCTCAAAAAGACAAAAACAAACAAACAAAAAAACACTTGTAAAAGGTCTGGACTTTCTTCTTCCTCTCCAGCCCCAAAATGCTGGTGTGAAGAAATTCCAACACACCTCTGGCTTCTAGGAAAGTTTTTGCTCTGTTAGTAAAGGAAGAAACCCAGCCGATGCTGTTTCTCCACAGCAGGGATCGTTATGTGTTGAACGCACATGTGATTGCTGTAGCCACAGTGGCCATCTTGCAACCACAAGGAAAAGTCAAGAGGACGAGAAAGATCCTGACCTTTGAGCTGAAACAGTAAGCACCTCGCCCCAAATTGCCTGTTAGGTAGAAAAGCAAAGCCCTTACCTATCTGAGCCACTGTGTATCAATTCAACATTAACATATAGGAGTTCAAACTGAAGCCAGTAGGTAGCCACTCAACAAATATGCATTGGGTTAATAAATTAGTAAACTCAGCCTGACCCTTCAAGGCATGCTTGGAAATGCTTGCCCCAGACCAGATGCATGGGCCAGCCTATCTTACCTGTACAAACGAGGATCACTACTTAGCAAACCACTGCAGATACCACATGAGCGTGGATTAGCAGACACTTTTCCCCTGATGAAACTGAAAGTTTCTGACCTCTGTTAAATCCGTCTTTCCTACCACAGGCTTCCTAATAGAAACAGAACTTTCATTCTATGGGACTGTACGCCTGAGTTCGTTGGCTGAGAGTTGGACCCACCCTTTGTGTGGAAATCCCAGACCTGGCCTGAGACTCTGAAGTCTAATTGATGGCATCTAATTTCTGGACTTTCCCAGGAACACGGTTCTTGAGGAAAGCACCAGCGATGATGTGTCTGCCAACACAAGCTTCTTCCCAGATAGTTTTGATGTAGTCTCCAAGATTCTCGCTCCTAAACTCTTGGAGCAGAGATCCCCATAGCAACAGGGCCCATGTGGGAAATTCTAGGCCCAGCTTAGGAAACAACGTCAGTCCCCTGATGCAGTCAGCATGCACAAGCCTACTGCATTCATTATCTGAGACTGCATAACAAATAACCCCAAACCTGGAGGCCGACATTTGCCATCATCATCTCTGCAGGGCAGAATCCAGCCTGGTGTAACTAGCTGCCTGTGGCTCATGGTCTCTTGTGAGGCTTTAGTACACCACTGGCTGGGCTGGGGTCTCACGGAAAGGCTGAACTCAGGAGGGTTGTGTCCAAGTTGGCTCACGTGGCTACTCACAAGCTGCCATCCCTTGCTAGCGGCTGGCTGCTCTGTTCCTTACAGCAGAGGTCCTACCTGCGGTCACTCACACCAAGACAGCCAGGGACCTCAGACTGCTTGGGAGAGATGATGGAGAAAGCACCCCAGATGGAAGCCACAGTCTTCTGGACTCCAATATGGCAGATGACATGCCATCACATCTGCTGTCTTCTGGGCCTTAGGAGCAAGTCAGTAGATCCAGCTTACATCAACAGGGAAAGGACCACACAGGACACAAACACCAGGAAGCAGGGACAGCGTACCACAGCTGCTAAAAAACACCTGGAGCAACAAACAGCTCATTCCCATTCCACCAAGAACGACAGAAGTGACAGACGACCTTGCATTTGAATAATGGGAGCCAAGGGGCAATGGGATCACCAGCCTGTGATGTTGGGGAAAATAGCCTGCCCACCACAGCCCTTTACACTCGCCGTCTTCAGACTCTTTTGTGCGCTCTGTATAATGAGAGGACCACTTGCCACCTGGCCCTGAGCACAGAGGATGCTGCTTGGTGCCTTTGCAAACACTGGTGGGGTGGTGTTTTAGAGAAAGCTTGAGCATTAAAATCACCTTTTGAAACCTAGCTCTAGCACCTGTGTGACCTCAGGAAAGTCTCTTCACTTCTCTGGGCTTCCTTAGCCATGCCAGTGAAATGTGTGCAATGCCTACCTTGCTGGATTTTTCCAGGAATTAAATAGGACTGTGTATATAATCACCCAGCATATGTAGGTACCTCATAAATATATGTTCTTTTCCTGCTGACAAGCTCCTATCCATTCTCCAATTCCTCGTCCAAATGTCACCTCCTCCATGACACTATCTCAGCTCCCCAGGAGGGCATCCCAGCTTCCTCCGCCACCTCAGCCACACCCTATATCACTGTGCTCAACACCCCATTCAGGAACAACCTGTCTCCAGTTTGGCCTCTTCCATGCCACCATGAATTTGTCCAGGACGGGCTGGATGAATGTGTGTCATTTGACCAGAAACAATCAAGAGTTAAAGTCAGTTGCCCATACCTATGCTGAGCATACTGATGCTACCAACCGACCAGCTTCCTTTCCTGTTCCGTGGAAAGAGGTACTCTCTTCCCGCAGGTGTGACCCCTTGTCACCATCCCTGACCACCTCATGTAAAGCAGCACCTCTCTTCTCACTCTGCTCCCTTAACCCACTCACTGCTCCCTTAACCCACTCACTGTCTTCCATTTTTCGTTTTTACTAGCACATGTTTGCAGTACATGATGTTACAGCCATCATGGGGAGTTGGAGCATGTACACAGCACATCTTCCTTCTATGTCCCCTCCCCCTTCCATCTCTCAGACCCTGTCCCATGTGCAAAAGATCTCTCTCTCTCTATTTTGTACTATCTTTTGTTTTGCTCTTTCAATTATGGGATACTTTGGGGTTTTCATATAAGAGAACCATGCGATATTTGTGCTCATGTGTGATTTAGTTCACTTAACATTATGGTCTCAAGATGCTCCCATTCTCCTACAAGTGACTTGAGTTTATCGTTTATGGCAGAGTAGTACTCCATGGCACATAAATACATTTTCTTTATCCATTGATCTGTTGATGGACATATATGTCTCTTCCAAGACTTAGCTATTATGAATTGTGCTGTTATAAACATGGGAGCACATGAATCACTGTAACTCTTTTGAGATAATACCTAGAAGGGGAATGGCTGAGTCAAATGGAATTTCTGTTTTTCCATAACAGCATTTATTCCCAACACCAGCACACAGCCCGCATCCATACTTACGGGTTGATTTAATCAGCTGGTCGCATTAAGTTGCAGTCTTTACAATGAGCCAGCAGGTAGTGTGCTCTTGAGAGGTGCCACTCCTTCCTCCTCCTCTCCTTCCCCTGCCTCCTTCCTATCAGCTTTGTCTCATCACAGAATAGAGCATCCTCCAGGACCCCCCACAAAATAGACCTCCATTCCCCACTAAACACTGCCCGAGCTGCCGCTGCCAATCTGCACCTGCTGCCAGTCCTCAGCCACCTGGTCTTGTTCCCGCCACAGCACCCTTCTCGCCAAGGTCACTGGGGTCAAAGCAGACATGGCTGGATCCTGTCTGACTCCATCCCGGCCTCCTGCTCCCGGAGTACGCCCTCCTGCGCTCTTCCTGCTGCTCCCTCCGTCCCTCCCTCGTGCCCTGCTGTTCCTTCCCCAGACTCTCAAAGGACCGAGGGCTCCACAGCCAGTGCCCCTCTGGGCCCGCTTGCAGCTCTCAGCTGGTCCCCTCTGCACTTCTCCCTGGCCGTCTCACACAGGTCTGTGACCCCGCCCACCCCTCCAGCCCAGCCGTGTCCTGCCACCTGCCGCCTCAGATCCTCAGCCCTACCACCAGCTAGCTCCTGGATGCCTGCCCCCGGGGGCACTTGGGCACATCAGACCCAGTACTATGGAGAGAATAGTCCCTCCCAACCTACACTTGCTGCCCCTCCCAGGACCCTCACTGTGGACAGCTCCGTGCCCGCCCATGGCAGAAAGCAGGGCCCAATCCAGGCTGATCCCTCTCCCTCACCCACCTGGCAGAGTCACAGTGTAGTCCTGGAGGATCCCTTGGCACAAGCTTCTCCAGACCCTTGCACCCTCCCAGAATTCTGGCTGAAGCATCCATGCCAATCTCATTGCCCCAAGCCTGGCACCGCCAACCTATCCTCTGTGGGGCAGCCCAGCGCAAGGGGAAAGGGAGTCGGGCTCCCAGTGGGCTTGACTGTGAAGACCCTCTGGTCCGGGGTTAGCCGGGGCAGAGATGCACACACAGGCCCAGATCGTTCTGGGCTGGGGATGGGCAGGGAGGGGAAAGATAGCGTCAGAGAGCACAGGGGAGGTTGGCAGCGAGGAGAACTGAGGTGGAGGCCTGGAGCATTCCAGGAACAGGGGGGTTAAGGGGTCCCTGCACCCTCCCTGGTCTCGGAGCAGCACCCAGCCCTCAGCTGTCGCCGGGTCTTCCGGGACAAGGCCAGTGTGAGGTCTGCCCCGGGATGTCAGGATCACCTTGGAGTTGAAGGAGGGGCTGCTGCAGAGGTGACCCCTCAGCACTGTTACCCAGCCCATCAGAATGTCACACTTTCTTCCCTGTGGACGCTGAGCGGGCCAAACCAGCTCGGGCAGAGCCATCCCGCAGCACTCTACGATGAGCTTTTCTGAAGTTACAGGGTGAGCACCTATGGGGGATCTCTGGCCAACAGTGGCAAGGTGTGGGTGCCCCTACAAATGACACTTCTGCCTTGGCTATCTCCTGCTAGAGCAGAGCGTGGCTCACACAAAAACGCCTTCACTTCCCCTCTCACACGGTGTCTGCACCGCCCCATGAGGGGGGCGTGAGTTCCCTCCCTGGCTTGGGTGGTCTCTCCCTTCCCGGCCTTGGGGCTCTTCTCGTGGAGCCCAGCAAGCGGCTGGATGGTCTCTGAGGCCCCAGGTCCGTGCGCGTTGCTCTGATTCCGCTCTTCGGTGACTCAGGTTCTTCTATTTAAGCTCTTGATTCATTCCTTCCTTCATTCCTTCATTCGCACCCTCATTGATCCCGCGCTTACCTTCTGGCAGTGATGCGTGAGCTGTGCA